CCGAAATAATTTTTATCAGTTGTCCCAGAATTTATGAAAACAGCTGTAAGTGAAAATTGTTCCTGGGTCAATTTTACTATAATGCGGGCTTATTTAATGAAAAAATTAAAAAATTAATTCCGGCCGGAAATTAGTAAACGAAGATCCTCGGCCGTTAGCCAATCAAAATCGAGGATCTGCCGGTCCAATTTTGTTGCGGCAGCTATGGTTAATGATTTGAGCGAAGATATCTCAATAATCACAAAGTCAAATTTGATGAACTTTTTTATTTGAATTTTACAGATTAGAATTCAAATAAAAAATTATCAAATTTGACTTGGTAGTAGCTGTTGAGATAACTACTCAAAGTTTGAGAAAATTTTGGTGCAGCTTTTATTTTGATAATTTTTTTTTAACCTTTGATTTGATATCTCGATAAATTTTTTTATTTGAATGAATACAAATAAAAATAAAAAAAGTTCACTTAGCTGTTAGTGGTTGTCGAGATGTATTCGTTCAAATTTTTAAAAGTTTTTAATTTACAGGAGGGAGAATAAAGAAAAAAAGCCCAAGATTCCCCTTATTATTCAGCTATAACAACCAGCTCTTGTATATTACTTGATGAAGTATTGAAAAGGCGAAAATATAAGAGGAATTTTGAGAATTTTTAATGTTAGCAAGAAATTTAGGTTTACTCTAGATTTACTCAAAATGAAATGAAAAAAAAACAATAAACAGCACTTTGATTCGGTCGTAGTAACTAATAAAGAAAACCAATATGGTAAATGTCATTTTATAAATCCAAAGTTATTTAGCGGAGTGGTATTTCTAAAATGTATATGAAGATTATTTTTCTTTAGAATTAAACATATAGGCTTCTTTTATAAACGTAAATCAATTTTAAAGACTCAGCGATTCGAATAACGTTCACTAGTAAAAATTTATTGTCAAAGCCCATATATGTAATTTAAAAACTGACGAACTTAGAAAACTAGTTTTATCACTATACTGTATATTATAAAAAAAAACAATATTAAATAACCCAATGTAATTAAAAGTTTTAGAAAAACTCATTTATAATATTAATAAGGTAATTCCTTTATACTTATACGACAACTTTTTAGTAGAGTAAACGCAAGTAACAAAGTTGTAAATAGTTGGTTTATAATGCAATCCAACGGTAGCAATCTGTTTTTTAAAACAACAGCAGTTAGAATTATTTAAATGTATATACAGTATATACCATTAATAAATTGGCTATTACATAATGTCTTCATAAAAATCCTATAGATTCCTTTGTTAATCGCAACTTACTGTGATAACTGATAAGTTAAAATTTTATACTGTAAATTCTACAACTCTACTCCAGTGCAATTTAAAATTTCTTTCGCGGGATGTTATTGTTGTTCTAGCCAACTCGGTCAATCACTAACTTCTATATCTGGTCTAAAAACACGTGTAACGCGATGGCTTTTAGTACACGTGGCCGAATTTGATAAACTATTTCGTGTTATATATCATGAAAAACTTTAAATGCAAATATATATTTACTAATGTTTGCACTGAAATTTTTACTTATTGCCAAAATTTTTGCAATCATTTCTGACAAATATTTTGAGAAATCTGTAGAATAGGTAAAAATACAACAAAAAAATTTAATGAAGACAGAATCTAGCAAGATAATTTATAGTTTTATCTTTATTATTATATAACATACTCACTTATCAATACACGTGTTAATACAAGGTGTGATGCGTTGCTCAACAAACCCTACATAGTTTAACACGTTTTATTAATAAAATCAATGTTAAATAACAGAAATGTGGTAAATAGCTATTTATCACACCTCTATTGTTTAACACTAATTTTATTAATAATAAAAAGTGTTAACCTATATAGGGTTTGTTAAGTAACGTATCACATCATGTTAGTTAACACCTCTCGAAACTTCCTGATGTTCTTTCTTCCTCTTTCATATCTAAGCCCAACACCCCAATTATTTGAAGTATTAGTGTTGTGACTAATTATTCATTGAATTATTAGGGTAAGGGTGGGTTTGGGATTGGGGCGAGGGTTAGTTTATACCAAAATTTTACGAGGAATTTTTTTTTGTTAGAAGCCAAAAGCTGGTTTTTATATTACCCGTGTACAAATAGAAATTGTTTTATTCATTATGCGTTGGTTATCTATTGCCATATCATGTGTTATATTTATGATCCAACTCCGATATTTTCAGGAGATTTGGTAGAATCATATATTATGGACCTTAAATATGACGGCCTTTACTGGTCTTGGTCTTTTTAATGACAAAGTTAGCGATTTGATTATTGATTCACTAAGATTTATTTCACAATTATAACCAAAATCAAAAATATTATTTTGACCCGCAATTAACGATTACTTTAAATGTCTCGAAAACTATTGTTAAAAGAAAGGTAGCAATAAAAAAGCACAATTGCTTCTTAAAAATTATAGAGGCAAGTAAAAAAACTATTGGCATGATTGAGATGAGACCTATTAAGTTGTCAATCATTATTGCTCATGCCAGAGATCTGATCATAAAATTGTAAAAAAATAGAATAAAGAGCAAAGACCATTTCACCACAAACAGAATGGTGATCTAATGGAACTATAAATAGAGAACTATAAGCGAAACTATAAACGGAACTATAAACAGAACTCGTTTTGGAGAAAATAACTTGTAAGCTGAAATCAAGAGGTCCCTGCACCATAAGCCAAGGTCAGGTATAATTAAAGAGCCAGATGCTCTTGTAAAAAAGACATGGTATGAAATACCACCTGAATATTATTGTTGACTGGTCACTAGCTTGCCTTATGTTGAAGCTGGGGACAATTAATGAAGATATGGATTCGGATTGCAAGGATAAATCAAAAAGGTAAATAATACTGTGTTACTTCGATTATTTTGAAGCTTGATGATTAACCCTTTTGACATAGGCGAACAGAATATATCTACATCCAATTTTAAAATAGAATTTCTAACAACTCTATTTATTGGCAGATCGCAAGTTTTTCAAGAATCCTGTGTGGTATGCGCATACGCGCGTGATTCGCGGGGTAGATGAACATAATAACAATCAGAATAATGAGAGTCAGAACTATCAAATGAGAGTTTGTATTGCTCACCTCGTTGACTGCAAATGAAGATATTTTCGCTTTACTATGAACGTGTCTTGATATCAAAGATAGTACGTGATTCAATTTCCATTAAATTGAACAGATTAAAAAAGCAAAAAACGAGGTATGTAGTGAACGAAAATTTTTATTTATATTACTTTCACGTATATAACAAATTCTGTAATTTTATTTTAGTGGATCATTAACAAATGAAATTAATTGAAGACGTAATAAAGGGAATAGTAGAAATAACATAAATGAAAAATACAAAATATTGGAAATATTGTGTAAGTATTTTAAAATAGTCTTAATTTTACTGCATATTTATTGAAAACACATCAATTTAACTTGACCTTATTATATTAAAACCGAAAAGTTAAAAAAAAGCCTTCTTGAAGAGTGCATTGAGTATGTCGAATATAATAAATTTATAAACCATGAAAATATTGGCGAAGGAAGTTTTGGAACTGCGATTAAGTCAGAATGGATCAGCTGTGGAATGATGGTTGTGCAGAGTACAACCATCCATATTTCCTTATGAATGGAATCAGATAATTAATACAAATACATCACTCTCAATTTTTAGACTTATCTAATATTGAGATTGGTTTTTCTACAAATAATGCATCTTAATAAAGAAACCGATTAACGTCATTAATTTTAGTGAACATTCAAAGACAAAATTATGGAAATAATGATGGCCATATAGTGTTTATAGTGAGTGTAGACCAGATAAAAATGAGTTGAAGTTACCGGAATACATATAGCTGGGGATACAATGTATTTGAATTGCATCATTAAGAATATGGATGACATTAACCATCTCTATCATTTATGTTTACGATTAATAAAGGTGTATTTCAGTTTTATAAAGTCTTTTACTTTTGAGAATATAATGTTATTATTTTTTCATTTATCAGAGGTTAGATTCCAGAGGTTTAAGTAAATGTAACATCTAATAAAGATAAGTTAAACAAAACCAAACATTTATAATATATTATTTTTTGTATAAATAAAGATCTAATCGAAAATTTTTCTGATTAAAGTGGTTGGCGTTTCAAAATGATATGCAGTGACTTTTTTATTTTGAATAAAAACTGTGCTTGTATAAAATAAAACAAATATTATCGAATAAGTAATCGAATATGATTTGTTAAGAGAATGCCAGACTTATGCCATGGAAGAAAATACTCAAATCCGAATAACAGAACTAGAATATAATATTGAGAAAGTCAACCGAACCTAAACTATTACCACTACCGTAAAACTAGAAAATAAGCACCACACTCTGATTAATAGAAATAGCAATACCCGAATTACTCCCGTCAATCTAATATTTAAAGAATTGATAGGTGTGTTTTACGATGTTTTTTTTAAGAGATATTTTATGGTTTATATGACCTTTGAGCATCTTTTAAAGCAACATCTTTTTTATTAACTGTTAAGTAATTTTGAAAATATAGAGCACTTTTCAGTTGATATATATATATACTGTATATAAAAAAGTAAAATTTAAAGACCAATTATGCCGAAACAAATACGTCCTAATTTTATTCGAAATTAGACATCCAATCATTAATTTTGAATCACCCTATTATGTATGATTAGACAAAATTACGTTGCCACGATAGACGTTAAAACTTTAATTATATTGATATCATTTTATTCTGACATGTTAGTATTATCAATATTCTCAAAATGTCTTCTAGTCCAAAATATTTCATCAGGCCATCTCTGTTCCTTACAATAAAAATAATTTTTCACTTTTCTATAATCATTTAAAGTTTTCATCATCTTTTGTTGATAAATTTCTATTGGTTGGATTTCTATATCATCTTGTTGATTTATTGAATTTTTAGATTTTTCGGAGTAGGTATTCTGATTTATTTCCATTTTAATTCTTTTGTTATGAAAAAATTGAAAGAATACAGCTTCAGCACCAATTTTTGAATTGTATAAAGCTGTTAATATTCCTTGAGACGAAAGTTTTCGATAGATGCTAATAAATATTAAAAAAATATATATAGTAAGAATTTTTTTGTAATTACTGTAAGTACATAAGATATATGCGTATCTAATCAATAAATGTATACCAAATGAAGAAAGTGCTTCAGAATTCGCTGCAAGACACCAAATTCTGTTTCCTATTGGGTGGTACTCATAATCTTTAATACATTGATTTATATAACTAGCATTTTCTTTTAATAATTTTCTAAATTCATCGATCATTCTGATTTTTTGCTATTGTTTTATCAAATCATCGTCAGTGAAAAAAATTACAATATGGCGTGAGTTTGGCAGTAAACTTGTTTGCCACCATCCAAATCTACATGATTCTACTAAGGTATGACTACCAGTGTCCTTTGTTGGAATGTCTTTGCAAGTTTTTGGTGTTGATTCAAATAAACATGCAAATGACAATAATTTATCAAATGAACAACGTTTTAAATTTGGATTAAATTTTCTAATACAACAACGACGACCACTCGCATCTATCAGAATTTTGCCGTAAATTGGATTTGGAACTTGTGCTGCAGAAAAAAAGGAAATAATAGCATTAAAGTAAATTTATTCATTTCATAGAATTTGTACAGTAAAAGACATCCAATCTATGTTATAGAGTGCCAATTTTTGGTGCCTACATCATCAATTTGATTGTTGGGTATAAACAATTCTGATTGGTTAATCATATATATATTTTGATATTAAACGCTAATTTTTAAACTATTATAAACCCTATAAAAATTTTTAAAAGAACATACTCCGACTTTAACCAGGTTATCGTTCCGGAAGATGCTCATTTTCGGAATAAAACACAAATTTCTGATTATTTCTATAAAATCCTGAAATTCTCAGATAGAAATCAAATTCAAACATTCGATTCTAACATTTTGAGTTTCGTCAAAACTAAGACCAGAATTTTACCTGGATTTGATTTGTATTCGGAAATTTTATAGAAAATAACCAGGAATTTATGTGGTTTATTCCAAAAAAATGAGCATTTTCCGGAATGATAACCTGGTGAAAGTCGGTGTATGTTTTTTTATAGGGAAACTTTAACTTATTACTTTTTTAAAACAAAATAAATATAATTTGTCAAGGGATTTCTTGATTTAACTTGTTTAAAAAAGTCGTAACGATTTAAAGTTTTTATTAATAGAGAGTGGATGTGTTTTACTGTCTGGTGCTGTACATTCTATTAAATAATTACCATCACAGGAATTCTTAAACTTGGTAAAGTCATGACTTTCCAGTAAATATCATCATTATTAATCTCTTTGCCGAAAGATAATTCAATTACACTGAATCCACGAAGTACAGTTACAAATCTTCCAAATTGAGATTCCGCCGCGTTCAATAGAGTTTCCTCAAACAAAGATCGATCAAGGTGAAATCCACTGCCATACGGATTGAATATGCTGTCAGTACCATGTAATTCTTTAGAACCCCACGCGGATGTATTCCCAAAACAATGTAGATGTTTTCCTTGCTCTACATCATTAATTATTTTATCGAGAACACCCAAAGATTGAAGTAAGGGTTTCGCCTCACTTGGCAAAGATTCACCAACTTTAAAGGTTCCAAAGTCTTTTTTTTCTTCGATTATTGAAATTTTTCGAAAAGCCGCCTCCGGTAGCGTCGATTCAAATAGTTGTGATAGTCTTATAGCTGAACATGATCCTGCGACACCACCGCCTATAATTATCACATCAAACTTTTGTTCTTGAAGAGTTTTGAACATCTTTGTGAGAAGATATCTTTATCAAGATACTGTCAGAGGCAAAATCGCCAAAAACCGCCGCGTCAAAATCGACGTCACGAAGCCCAAAAACGTGATGAAGACCCGAACCAAAGCTCCCAAGAAATGGTGGCTGTGATCACGGCTGAAATGTGGCAAATTTGTGGCAAAAGCCACAAAGAATGAAGAATCGGGATAGAACCGATTTAGGCTTGGGGCGGTGCCAAAAGCTTAGCCGGAGAAGGCAAAGCTTTGATGGCACGGCATGGCGTGGAGTGGCTTGGATTTAGATTAGGAAGTTCTTTTCTTTTCTTTAGTTCCTCCCGCATGTAAACTGTTATAAAAATGGGCTCTTTTCGCCCTCTAATAAAGGACACTAAGAAAGTGTTTGAATAAAATAAAAATCGATTGTTCAAAACCCACAATATACCCGATTTTAGCCTTACCTTGCCCAATTGTACCGCCTCTACCAATCGAGTATATCGAGAGGTGTGGGTGATTGTTTGGTTTGTGTTGTCGCTCATTTAGCCTCCGACGTATCAATATCTATATATATCTGTGATTCGTGTAACAAGAAAATCATGGAGATTACCTCATAGACAGAAGTTCGTCTGATTGGCTAATAAAATCAATTAATTTTACATTATTTATACAGTTTAAAGTACTTTTTAGAAAAAATAAAACTACGAAGAATAAAAAGGTTTATTAGGGTTGTGGGACTCTACCATTAAAAATAATCTAAATCAATTCTGGTTTGAGAAGTTAGCATAGTAATAACCTATCTTTAAGAAGTCGTTATTATGCTAATTTCTCTAAAACCTGAATTGATTTAGATTATTTTTAATGGTGGAGTCCTACAACCTAATAAACCTTTTATATGATTCTTTTTTGTTTATTCTTCGTAGTTTTATTTTTTCTAAAAGTACTTTAAACTGCATAAATAATGTAAAATAAATTGATTTTATTAGCCAATCAGACGAACTTCTGTCTATGAGAGATTACCGGGTCATTTCTAAGAATAGATTACCTAGTCATGCAACCAAAATCTAGCCGAACTAATAAATTTTGCCTAATATAGTTGGCTAATATTATGGCTTAATGCTGGCCTAGCTCCGAACCTGACGAACTCGGTGAATCTAACAAACCAATAAATTTGATGAATCTAACGAATTTATGGTTGTACTACTAAAGCTTAAATGAAATCGGAATCCTTTTTTACAATGTTTTTGGTTTATAAAAAAAATTAATTTTATTATCGTAATGAGGTACACGAACAAAGAAAGAATCATTATGTTAGAATCTTGAAGCAGTATCAAAAGATAAGTTGGAAAGTAAACTGAATATATTGCATTGAATAGCTTAAGAAGCTCGAAAACAAAATTAGTTACCAACTAACTAATTTGATTGGCCAATAATCACATTTAGATTAGCCAATCAAGTGAATACGTTCCAGTAAGAAGATCGTTCCAGTGGGATTTCTCACTGGAACCACTGGAATACTGGAAGAATATGGACGTCCAGTGGGGTTCCAGTCTTTCAGTGGCAATACTGATTTAAACTACAATAATTCTTTAATTCGTTAACGAAAACGAGCTTAAATTTTATACGGTTTAATCTCTGTTTACTATCCCCGGTGATTGATTCGAATCGGCCAATCAGAAGCCACTGTAAGTCACTGGACATCACTGGAACTTCCATTCCCAGTGCAGGGCCCCTAGAAAATTTCGGTATCATTTTGGAAAAATTGTTTTGGTAACGACCAAATATTGTTTTTTATTGCGA